AAATTAAACAAAATCCAATGGTTACTCGTCACGAGTTGTAGGATGATTTGTTTTCATCAGGAAACTGTATCCCTAAACGGACAATAAACAACGAAATTCACAGGAACAATCTAGACACAGAGATGCCAGGTTGAAATTTGTTCGTTAACATATAAGGAAAAATCATATTGTAATGTGTATTATGGATAGACGAAACCAAAATTGATTTATTTGAACGTAACTCTAGAAATTATGTATGGAGGAAATGGCGATGCCTTCAAACAAAAGAAAATTGTTACAATAGTGAAATTTAGTGGTGAGAGCATCATGCTTCAGGGATGATTTTTCTGCAAAACTTACAGGCAATATATCAGTAATAGATGATAGAATGATGATAGAATGTATATCAAAATATTTTCGAGGAAAATTTAATGATTTCGATTGAAAAACTTGAACTCTATCATGGTTGGATCTTTCAACAAGATAATGATCCTAAATACACTGCAAAATCTACGAAGAAATGGCTTGCTAAAAATAATGTAAATATCCTGAAATGACCAAGTCAGTCCCCCGATTTAAACCCAATCGAGAATCTGGGGCGTTATTTGAAAATTCATATCCAATTGAGAGCTCCAACAAATATCTCGGATCTGAAGTCCATATGCGAAGAAGAATGGAGCAAAATAGCAACTAAAATTTGCAAATCATTAATTGAGAACTGGAAGAAGAGTTTGGTTGCTGGAGAAGTGAATAATGGCTATTCTACAAAGTATTAAATGAAGATTATGTATTTTTTATTCTATTATACGAATACTTTTTTCACCCATTAAAATGGGTAGATGGGATTTATTTCTATTAAATCATTTTTTTTCTGTTTGCATATTTAATTGTTATGCATCCGTGTCGACTTAATTATATGAAAAGTATGTTTATTCATTAGTTAGAAATACAATAAAATAACTTGTTTGCCTGGGTGTACATAGCTGCTATTGTATAACCGCCGCCACCACGGATACCCGCACCCACTTGTTTAGAAATGTCTGCCTGCGTCCCCCCGCTTGCATACATAATCCCCGTTGGTATACAAAGTTACTCTCCACTCATCTTTTACGTTATATTCTACGCAAGTTTTTGATTGTTCTTAATAAAAGAATTCAATCGATAAAACTTTCTTGTCTGGTCGTTGCTCGGGATTAAATTGTTTCAACGTTTTAGATATTCAGTAAATTTCCTATGGCCGTAATAACTTTCAAATAGTATAGCATGGTTTACAAATCTAATAATCAAACAAAAACCGAGATGAAGCGTCTGAGCTTGATTCAACTGAAAGTGCAAACGCATAAATACACCCCTCCCCCTACTTATTCTCACGTTTACTGTAAAGCTGGGGTTAATAAGAGGTTCTTCGGGAATTTTTCCATTTTAACTCTTCAATAATCCTTCTCAAACAATCTTTGCATCAAAGGTTGTTCGAATGCCAATTTAAGATGGAACTTTTAGCTAAATGCCAAAAGCCGATTTTGGACCTCGTTTGTCGAAGATTTCGTTCACTTAACTGAAATAATCTATACCAAACATTCACGCAAGACGATTTTCATGTCATATGTAATTTGCATGTCAAATCTGGAAGCATTAGATGAAAAGTCAGGGAGTTATGGCAAAAAAACGGGGATTTTTGTACAGTTTTTCGTGGTGTTTCGTTATGTATAGGGAAATGATCAGGACTAAAACCATACAATCTAATTTCTTGCAGGATGGCACATTTATTTTACATGTGTGAAGAAAATAGGATAAAAAATGAGGAAGTTATTCAATATTTATTTGAATTAGTACAAATAACTCAGAGGTTCAATTTTTTGTGTGAAGCCAGTTTCGCAGGAAAACTATTCAAGCACTCTACATAAACCTCGTAACATGAGCTCGGTTTTGCATTAAGTGCTCATCCAGTAAAAGTTTTGTTGGCGTCTAACTTTGCTTTGTTTTTTGGAAAAGGTTGTACCCACCTTCAGATTTATCGATTTCTCTACCAATCCCAGGGGGCTAGACATTGAAATGTTGGTCTTGATCTATGTTGGTAAATTTACATGTCTGTACAATTTCATCGAAATCGGTCGAGAAATGTGCACGTGCATAAATAGTATACACACGAATATCTCCGTTCATGAAAGAATTACCTTTTTTCCAAGCCAACGTCTATGACTAAAATTGTTAAAAAATTAAAAGAAAATTCTTAAATTCGAAACCTTCTTTTATTTAAAATATATAATACACAATTAATCCCAAACTAAAGTAACATAAATATTACTTAAAATATTTTTGAAACATTAAATAAAAAATACATTTACTCAGTTTTGTTTAATAGACATTAATTTACGTCACTTGGCTTCTCTTATAATTTACCTAGACTTTTCAGTTAGCCTGATTTATATATATGAGCGTTCTTAAAGTTTTTGAAAAACTAACGATTTTTTTTTTTATAAATACTTGTGTCAAAATAAATTCCTTAAATTTGTCTTGAAAATGTCCATCAGTGGAGAAAAAGGTTCGGTTAAAGTCAGTTTCCGTTTTGTCTTTTATATATATATATATATATATATATATTGCCTGTATTATTTACGCAGCATCTTTTCATTCATACACGTTTCATTAAATAATATAGATCACTGTCATCACTGTCTTGTCCGTATATTGCTTAATATGTTGTAATTGACATCTTTGATAATGGCTTATGTAAGCCGAAAGCTTAGATTGTATTAAAAAAATATGGATCAATATTGTGAATTTCTTTCTTCGTTCAATGATAATGTTATTAAACTTATTAGACGTTATGAAAAGAATTTACATAAAATAAATAGACAACACTTGTCTATATTATTTAATGAAACGTGTATGAATATATATATATATATATATATATATATATATATAGATAGATAGATATCATAAATAAAAATATATAATATATATCATATATATATATCATAGATAGATAGATACGCAACCTCTTTTAGGTCCCTCCTCTAAGGAGGAAGTTTATTTTTGAAGAAATTTTCAGAGCCCCCAAGCTAATTAAACCCACCTGGTTTAATTTTCTTAATTTCGCGCTTATTATTATAGTTGATTCAAGTTTTTACTTGAACGCTTTCATGGTGGCATTGTTAAAAAAATAAAAACGTTGTTCCATTATTTTTTTTCTTTCCAAAATTCCAACATTCTGTTTGCTAAATTTAATGCCGTTTTAATTTTGTTTTAAATACTTACTTTACTTAAATTCTAAAGTTCTGACCATTAAATGCTTTCCGACCCCACCTCTTAAGACACACACTATTTATTAGGGAGAAAAACTCCGACGCCCCAATGAGACGTGTGTGTGTGTGTGTATAACGCTGATGTCATTAATCTTAAACAACGCGAAAATTAACAAACACTTTCCATCTCTTCATTCATTCCTTCTTTACGAACAATATAAGTAAGAAAAAAAACCTGATCTCTCCAATTTTCCCAGCGAGAATGAATCAATTTCTAGTGAAGAACCGTTGCTCTTCTTACCGAGATTAATTTCCTCAAGCTCTCAAATTGAAAGCATAATAGCCTTTCTAGACTGGAGGCCTGACAGAGTTAGAAATTGATCTATTTATTTATTCTTAATGTTAATGGTTTCATTATTTCGGTTTTCACAAGATCATTGTTGGGTAATTCTGTTGAAGACGAATACCATCAAAGTAAAATCTACGCCTCTGATTACGAGCAAACATAGCTTTCAAATTAATTTGATAGATAGATGGTACCGGCAAAGATCTGGAAAATTACTATTGCGAAGAAACGTTTCTATAAGGTGTAACAACAGGTCACTCGCAGATAGAGAAATAGATATATACAGATAGATAGATAGATATCAAAAGATGCCAATATACAATTTTAAATTGATGTCCCCCCACAATGATTAGGTGATGGTGAAACTCAGGTTTGAAAAGCATGTTTTTACGACACGTTTTCCAACTCATGCAGATTGGCACTACATCCGCTTATGTTCTTATAGGAAGAAAGTCACATAATGCATACATGTTGCTACGAACAAATTACTTAGTTTTAATTGAAATATTTTTACTTTGACATATTTTCTAATTAACCTGCTTCATAAAAAATAATTCTATTTCGTTAAAACAAAATCTCCTTTTGTGAGACAAAATGTAATTCATCCGACGGTCTGAGCGTTTGATTTTTACTTTAGGTACATTGTTTTAAATATTAGGTGTATAATGCTGGCTACATATGCCATTAAAAGAAATCACGGACAATTTCTTCTTTCAGAATTCATGCTCCAGAACTGGGATTACAGACGATGCGGTCAATGCTTTTCCAAAATTTCCGCTGGCATCATCTTATATAAAATCCCCAAATTTTAACGTTCTTTAACAGAAACACTAACACAATGGTAGTTTGAAATTTCCTTTCTCCTGACGAATAACATTCGTGTTTTGTCCCTGTGGATGCCAGAGAGTGATTAAAGACGCTGAAACCGACAGCAGGGGATCTGGATAATTTGTCTTGGACCAGATATGCATTTCATTGTGCGGAAGTAGTTATTGTAAAAAGGAGTGACTTCGTGCTCCTTGTTTGTCTTATTTAGTGATAGTTATTTATCTATCATGTATTATACATTTTCATGGATTGTGAACAGAACGACAGTCCGCTTCTATTCTTAGCAATTCGGTCAACCTAAAATGAAACGCTTCCACATCTATAAAATCAGAAAATGACATAGCAGTATGGCGCGTCTACAGAGGCCAGTTCAGATATAAAGAAAACGAAACTTTCAATGACAATAGACAAAGGTTTAAGGTCGTTCCATTGTCACTTCGAAATAGCAAATCTGGGGAAGCTGTCAAATATTCCTTTTTCTTTTTTAGTTTGACACACGCACACACACACACACACACACACACACACTCGCACATATGAGAGAGAGAGAGAGAGTCCACGCAAAGTGTTCAAACCTTATCCCATGATTGCTTTAGGGT